AGTATGACATGAAAAGATACGTTATGTTGGTACTCGGTTGGATAAGGTATCAGGTGCTTGTCGCGGACCATCGGTTTGGGTCATGACATTGTCTTTCCCTTTATCAACAGGGGAAGCTTCCTGAGCCGGTTTAGAAGATGAGGCCTCCCCGCACCCAGGACGCGCAGAACCATTGTCAAAGGTGTTCATAACGACCTTTTCCTCTTCGGGTCGCAAGGAAGAAGCAACTCTGATTTCTTCCAACCTATGCACCTCTGAGGCCGCCCCAACGCCTCCCTCTATCACTATCATCATAGTCTCTTGCACCACGACCCCATCCTCAAACAAGTTGACACTGCTGGCACACCGGCTCCCACATCCATGGCCTTCCTCTTAGAGGGCCTCAAGTCCATGCCATACAAATAAATCTCCTCGTCCTCAACATGAGATGGAGCCGAGGGAAGAGAGAGCGCAACAATCAAAAGGGGGCAAGAGTAGAGGAAGCAACACCCTTCCTTCTCCTGATAGAGCATCGGCGCCAGATTCCTTTTAGCAACCTCCTTGGCGGAGCCTAGAAGAAAGTATGAGGATGAGAACACCAAGATCAACAAGTAAAGACAGAAAGATAACGTGCCGACATTACCTTTCGAAGAGAGAGCCAGTTTGTACTTCTGCCAAAAACTCGACCAGTCTCGAATCCCTACAGTGCAGGGAAGGACTTGCCTAACCCAGCTAGTAAGGTGCACCACCAACTGAAGTGGCCGAGCAGTAGCTGCAAAATAAGAAGAATCAACTCACGAACTCGGACTCTACGATTAAATGAGAGAAGGAAGATAAGCATAAATACTTACGAGCATGATTCCAAGCTTTTGGAAAATTCGCGACGTCAGCCACGACGGATTTAGTCTTAACAAAAAAGAGTCAAGCCCGAATTCTCGACTACCTCTGTCAACCATCTTAATGACCAGGGACTTGCTTCCGTGATGTCGAATGTTCAACATCGTGCCCCGGTAGAAGTTGGGCATGAACAGGTGAACCACATGTTGCAGAGTGGTCTGGACGTCAGCTAGCTTAGCAAACTTGGACAGCATCTTGATCACCTTGTAGAGCAAGGGCGCGAGCTAAGCCGGACAAACCCAGTAATAGCAGCGAAATTCCTCTACCAAAGGGGGAAGATGAAATGAATAGCCTACGGTGAAGGGATAGGCACAAAGAGCACAGTACCCTGGGCGGTCTGTACACACTTCGCCATCACTGACGGGTACAAGATCCACTTGATTTGGAAGGCCATACTTAGCTTTGAACTCTGCCAAATGATCGGTTGTTAGAGACGATCAGAAAACCTCAGCCACCGCCTCCGGCTACCGTTGCAAGTCCAGTTTCGCATTGTGGCTGCGAGAATAATTTTTTCTACCAAGGGAAGAACTTCCGCTTCAATGGCGAAGGTAGCATATCCTCCGCGAACAGAGGCTGCAACAATCAATGAGGTGGTCAGAATATCCTCATTCACACCAGAAACCTCCCCACCACGAGTATCAGAAGGCAAGTTAGACATGATTGTAAAGTTTGAAGAATTTTAGGGAGGAGAAGAGTCGAGAAAATGGGAGGAAGCTTTAGAGAATGATAAGCTAGAGAAATAAACTCAAAGAAAGCAAAGGTGATTCTTGAGGTAAAACTTGAATAATGGTGATCATCCCCCTCTTTATAGAGAAGGAAACTAGAATTTGGAACGACTAATCATAATGGCAGCCGAAATTGCAATGGCGGAACCAATCCAAAAACCGCACGTGTCCTGACACGATGTAACGGGAACAAACGTCATCGTGATAAATGATGTCACATCCCATCCATGTCAGGCTTTCTCCAGAGGTCACCCGGAAAAATTAAGAGTTCGAAATATGTGATTCTCAAAATGCCACATCATCCGTCTCTTATGACGATCATGATTACTATTATCCATTTATCAAGCTTGTCCATGGGGACGACCTCGACAAGCGGAGGAACTAACTGTATGGGCGAAAAACTTCATGTCATGCATTTGACCTGGTCAACTATGACAAAGCCTTTGGAGGTTGTGACGTATCGACACTATGACGTGTCAACCTGACTCCAAAAGGTCAAAGTCGTGTGAAAAGGATAAATCGTCGAGGTCGAGGTTGTTTAACGGAAGATGAGGGCAAGGACGAGCACCTACCTTTAGTACGAAGTAACGACTAGTTTTAGGATTTAGATCCCTAGAGAATATTCTCATGGATATTCCTTTCTATTGTACTATCTAGGGTTTTGTGGTCCATGTACTTTTATAAATAGGAAGAGATGTAGTTCCAAAGGGGCATCGAATATTTTGTAAAGAATATCATTGACATTCTCTGTGCAAGATTCTCTCCTTATTGAATACATAGAAAGCCTAATTTTGCACTTCTTTTTCTTTGACCTTTTTCTCCCGATCCAAGAAGAATCGGAATATTCAACTGATTATCATCATCATCATTGTTAGAAAGCATAGTGAAAAATCTCACCCTTGTCGGGCGGACTTTATCTCATTTATTATTTGAAAGTCATTCATTATCATTTATTACTAGCCTTAACATTTTCAAGCCTGTATCGCTCCATCATTGTTCTTAGACAACCTTATTTAATATTACACATTAAATATTCACCATAAAAGTATTAGATCTGCTATTGAATATTAACATCAACTTTGATTAACCCTCTTTTTCTATAAGTCTAAATCTAATATAACTGTATAAAACCCCAAATCTAAGTTTTGGATCATACACAAGACAACAGCATAAATTTGGGAAATTTAGGGCATGGAGGCAATTACTATCTGACACGTTACCCTACCAAAGCCAGAGTTAGTATGGCTACCCTTTTAAAAGGAACAGTTTGAGTTTCTACTTTCTAGTTTCTTTTAAGCATGCAGTATAAGAAAATCAGAGGACAAAGTGGGGACCCAAAAAGATGTTGGTCCTGAATATGAGCCGCCATGTCCACTAGCTTCTTTCAAAGACTCGAGACTCAGGAGCGAGATCCACGTAGAAATGACACCAGGTAGCCATCCCATAGTACTGTTATTTAAGAATTAATCAATGTATTTCAATTTTCAGTTCAAATTTTCAAGACAAAAATGACCTGAATTATTCTGAAATTCAAATTTTTTAATTTAAAATATCAGGACAAAATAAGTATTAACTAATTTTTAAATAACATCCTTAAAAATGACTATTTATTTATGCACTTGCCCTTGGTTCCGTCACCTACCAATCTTTAAAAAAAGACTACTCCACGGGGCTAGTGAGCATCCTCGTAGTAGATGCATACTGACCCTTTAAAACAGACAGGCCCTAATATTTTCACAAAACTTATGCAATTCTCATGTTAAGAAGACCAATATACCAAAAGAACACCACAAACGTGTACCCAACTGTCAGAGTATTTTGTCATTTTCTGCAGGCGCATTATCTTTTACTTCATCATCACTGCATAAGTCATCTGAAAGTTTTAGTCCTTGGTGGTATTGCTCTCTCAATATAGATAAATAGCATGTTGGCTAAGCTATTTTTTGGTCAAGTACTTTTTTGATAGTTTTTGGCCAAAAATTAAGGTGTTTGCCTAAGTTTTTAGAAGGAAAAAAAGTATTTTTGAGAAGAAGCAGAAGCAGTTTTGAGAAGCAGAAAAATGTAGCTTCTCTCACTAATTACTGCTCAAAAGTGCTTTTTAAATTATTGAGCCAAACACAAACCGATTTTCATCAAAAGTACTTTTTTGAAAAGCACTTTTGAAAAAAACACTTCTCAAAATAAGCAGATTTTAGAAGTCTGGCCAAACAGGCTATAAGACAAATCAAAACTAAAATTAGGTATATGACTAATTTAAAATCATCATCTTCTCACTTATTGCAACTAAAATAGCATGATAGAAATAGAAATCCAGAAGACATATAGCATAGCCAAAACTAGGGGTGTTCATAAAACCCTGAAAAACCGAAGCAAACCGAAAACCAAACCAAATCGCGCAAAAAATCGATACTTTTTGGTTTGGTTTGGTTTTGAATTGTATAAACCGATCAAATTTGGTTTGGGTTTGGTTTTAATCAGAAAATAACCGAACCAAACCGACTATTGGAGTGGCTATTCCAAATTTATTATTACACCTATATATATGTATATTGTTATACAAAGTTTTAAAAAATTTATGGTAAATGTTAATAGTTTGCACTTTTAATATAGTTCTTTATCTTTACATTCTAGTTTGATTGGTAGTTTTCTTTTGTTTAGTGTAAGAATCCATTTCGTGTTAAAAATAACATATTTTTAATTGAGTCCTTAAATTAATCATCACTATTTTGATTCAATTATCATCAATATATTTTGGTAAATAATATATTTCTCAAAGGGCAATTGATTTGATACTGTTACATTGAAAATGTGGTCGCCGAAATATGTGTTTGGTAGTGTATGTCTTATATTTAAGAAAAAACCGACAAATAACGGAAAAAACCGAAAAACCGACATAAACAGGATCAAGAAAAACCAACTTAATTGGTTTAATTTGGTTCTAATGTTTGAAAAACAGACTTACTTGGTTTGGTTTCTTTTTAGGAAAAAACCGATCCAAACCAAACCATGAACATCCCTGGCCAAAACAAGCACACAAAAAAAATTAAAAAAAGCAATTTAAAGTGAGAAATTATCATTTGAAGGGTAGTATTTTACTTATGCGCCTTTTTAAATGTGAACATTCTACACTATTCCTGTGTCTCCCCTTGCAAAGCAAAAAACCAGCAAATGACAGAAAAGTGCTCCATAGGGAAGCAAGCGATGCTCGAACCCAGTTTTATTAGCCTGAAGACGTAAACCCCTTCCCGTTGCAATTATATACAATGACATTAGCAACATGACCAATTAAATATATATGCTATAGCCTGTAAGCACTAAGCACTCCAAAATTGCAACGTTTAAAAATACAGAAACCACTCTTAACTAATTCTCTCAAGGAGCTAAAATGACTTCATGCTGTGCCCAAGGTACAGTAAGAACTTCACACTAAATAAATGCATAAAATACAAGCTACAATAACATAAGCCAAGTACAACTTCAGATATGTTTTACAAGACACTGGATGAAAGATGTGGAAATTAAAAAATGCAACTGAACTAGGCCTACTGAAGTTGGAAAAACGGAAACTCGCATGACCAGGCATTTCCAAGAAATGCATTCATGCAAGAAAAAAGAGACAACCAACCAAAAACTAACAAAGATCTGAATGGAAATCACTTTGGACACCCTTTAATTACGGCGTGCCTCTCATTCTACTTAGCTTTCTTGATGAGAGTAGTTGTTCCAAATTCACTGTCATCCCTAACAAAACTCCACAACAAGTACGCTAGGGGAAGGGAGATAGTGTGCCATAGAGCATCAGCGTCCACATATCCCATATAGGGAGGAAAGTCATATATCTTAAGGAGTGTAGAAAGGACTCCACCAGTCACCACAAGCCACAACTTCCAGCGTGATGGATGGCGAGTAAAAGCTGCCCAGACCGCCCATAAAGTAAACTGCAACATGCTCATAGCAACACAGACTTTGGTGTTTAATCCTGCAATGTAATCTGGCAACTTCAGCTTCTACACCTTGCATTATCATGTAACAAATTCATGACATAAAGAGCCACTACCGCTTAAACATAATCGGTTAGGGTTCCTGTAACTACATTGGCCACATGACACATGGGACACTTATTTGACCACCAAAAATGTTCCCTTAATTGTGTGAAGTTGGTTGCTGGAAAGAAAAAAGACAAACAAAATTGTTTCTATACATATCTTAGACCCCCC